CCTCTTCACAAGCTTTCTCAACTTACACTATTGAGTGATACTCTGTAAAGATTCTAAGAAACACATTTTATAATAAGACTATTTTTTTCTTCCTAGACTATTACAGTTATTGTTGAACAATTTCTTTAAAGAATAATTAAAGATGGATTTTAAATATCTTATTAACCACTAAATTGCCAATCCTTTTAACCAATGAAAAAAACTGGTCATTCAAGTTGATTATTCCCTTTTCCTTGAACCTTGTTAAAAACTAATGTAGACTTACTAGTTTGGCTGCTTGTGCTGTTATGACATCAGGGTATTGTATGAGAGCTTGGAATGTATCTAGAAAGCAGGAGGAGAAAAGACTGTATTCTTTAATAATGATAAATAAACTCTGATAAAATCAAAAAGACCTTACATTTTCCAGTTCAATGAATCTTACTAAAAGTCATTAAATAACTAAAGTATCAAATATTTTACTGGAATGATTAATAATTTTGAGAAATTATATTTTACATATTTTTTCTTTGTTCAATGTACAACAGCAAGATAAATGTGTTTAAAATTTAAAACAGTAAAATACTGCAATCTGTATTTTTCATTCTGATTAAATTATATTTACAAAATGTAATTAATTATTTTTAATCTGAAATATTTCATTATTAATGATAATATTTCAGAGAAATGATACAGCAAATATCAAATAAACAATTGAGACTTACTGTTCTTGGTAAAGGTAATAATTTTCAAGATTTTTCCCACTCTAGAAAATATCTGCATGGAATATATATACATATATTATCATCATCAGTGAAAAACTATTTTTTTGTATATCAACTGTAATACAGCACAGTGAAATTGTTTTGTAAACCAAATCTTTAAAAGTTAGCTTTATAAAAACCTTGTGTTCAGAAATAGAAGCCACATAAAGCCCAGTTTTATATTTAGAGAATAATAATAATAATATAAAAAATTATAAAAGCTATTCACTGTTGAAGTTCAATCATGAAATTTATGATTTATTTTACAGATGTTTAAAAACTGTAACTTGTTTGATTTAAGAATCCTTAAAGATATGTAAAAAAAGGTTAAAAATATAAAAAAATGACAAGATTGGGCTTAATCAAGAATGTTATAAAAATGTTTTAAATTTCTTAAAAGCCTTAGAAATTAATACCTACACTGTAAATATCTTAATTGATATCATGATATCACTACATATCAATTCTGACACATTTCACGTCTTTCTAGAAAAATAACCTTTTCTGTACTTTCAGTTAAGACTAAAATTACCTGTAGAATAATTAAGTCTGTAGTATAATCAGTACAAAAATTCTCACCTGGTAAAGCACATCAAGTGTGACAGGATAAATCTGATTATCAACTATCACCCTGAGTACTGTATTCGGACCACCTTGTGTCTCAGTCTGGCTTAATAAAGCTTGGGCAGCTTGTAATGCAGCTTGAGTGCTGGCATGCTTGATTTAATATAATAATATATATATATAATCAAATGTTAAAAAAAACGAAAAACTCATCTCCATAAAATTTCATCACATGAGAGAAAACATGGCGTTGATTAAAACATATTAGTGAGACTTTACATATACGTTATTGTTTTTCTCTCTGTTAATTGCATTTACATATTCATTATGAAATACTGCTAATTAGCAAACTGCTAATTACAAGTCTCTAGGATTTACAATTCTTCCAAGAGCCTGATGAAACTTAATGTTATAAACAAACTATTTGGAAAACTATAAAGCAAAAACAAATAAATACATAATACATTTTCTTTGAGAATTTATTACCGAAAGCCTTAACTGCATTACAGAATTCTGACTGCCATTGTCCTGTATAATTGGTAGTATGTTTCCCTAAACTGATATGTTAAGTATTTTTTTTTGAAACATTAAGAACATTATTTATCCCCAAAGCTGGGATGCACATGGTGTTATACTGACACACTAACACCTTAAATGCCATTCTGGTGTTAGATAACCATGTTGTCTTTTGTTTTATAATGCTGTGTTTTTGTGTATGTTCAATATCCTATACATTACTTAATAAATACATAATACATTTTCTTTGAGAACTTATTACCGAAAGCCTTAACTGCATTACAGAATTCTGACTGCCACTGTCCTGTATAATTGGTAGTATGTTTCCCTAAACTGATACGTCAAATATTTTTTTTATTAAACATTACGAACATTATTTATCCCCAAAGCTGGGATGCGCATGGTGTTATACTGACACACCAACACCTTAAATGCCATTCTGGTGTTAGATAACCATGTTGTCTTTTGTTTTATAATGCTGTGTTTTTGTGTATGTTCAATATCCTATACATAACTTACTGATAAGTCTCAGGATCTTGAAATAACAATAAAACACCACGTTTTAGTAACACCAAAAAACTGTTAATTTGATCTTTCAAGACTTTTTTTTGTACTCATTTGTATCTTTGTATGAATGAATGAGTGAGAAATACAATAAACCTAACAAAAAAGTTGACTTTCACAAAATTATAGGTCAAAACAAGGAAGAAATATAAATTTTTAAATTTATCTTAACTCCATCTCAACATGCATATGGTAAGTACAACAACAAAAATGTAGAAGAAATAAAAAGCAATAATTTAGTTTCTGTACAAACCAATGAAAACCAACTAGTTTCCATGAAAATATTTGAACAGTTCATATTAAACAACAGATTAGTTTATTCATGGCTGCAAGTCACTCCAGAACATATTAATATCAGTTTCCAAAATACTTAAAAAGTAGAACTGAGTATCCACTTAAAATAATATACAAAACACACACACACATATACATGCATATTTGTACCTATAGAAAATGTTAAGGCAAATTCATAAAAAAACTTTTCTATTTTATTTTTGTAAAAACACATATACAAGTATATGACAAAACATCAGCAAAAGAAGACAGACAACATCAAAAGAAAGACTTTTTGCTTCTTGGTCATGTTTAAGATTTTACACATATTACAGTGGTGTTCTTGTTTATATGAAATTAAATCCAAGCTATAGATCTAAAAATCTGCATATGGTTGAGCAAGAACAAAGACACTCAGATGAAAAACTGCAGTGACAGATCATAATGTCTTGGCACTAACCAGCTTTGCTTCAACAAAACCCAGAGACATGTTTAAGCAACCAGAAAAAAAAAAAGACCTTGAATCAGAGACAAGTTACTTAGTTATATAACGGCTGCTGTGACTGCACCAGAAATAATAAATGGCTAAAAAACTCCAACAAGCAGCACATCCTCTTGTGAAGTTCACTCCCAATCATATGACAGTGAAGTAATAACAGAAGTTTGTTTTTAGATATTAAAGTTACACATAAAAACAAACCTGGTAGGAATAATATAAACAATTATTCTGCCTTATTTTGTCTTTTTAATTTCATACATACAAATGATACATAGAATACAAATTTTAAAAACATTTTAGTTTTATGTGTTTGTAAGCCATTATACTTATAATAAGTTATTCCCCATTTACAAGCTTCAATATCAAACTATATTAACCAAGCAAATTTATTCAATGATAAGAAAGTTGTTAACTAGCAAATTTATTTACTGGTGAGAACGTTATTAAATAAGAAACTTATTCAATGGTAAAAAAGTTATTAGCTGGCAAATTTATTCAATGATAAGAAAGTTGTTAACTAGCAAATTTATTCACTGATGGGAAAGTTGTTAACTAGTAAATTTATACATTGATGGGAAAATTGTTAACTAGCAGATTCATTCATTTATGAGAAAGTTGTTAACCAGCATATTTATTTATTGGTGAAAAAAGTTGTTAACTAGTAAATTTATTTACTGGTGAGAAAATTGTTATCTACCAAATTTATTTATTAGTGAGAAAGTTGATAACTAGCAGATTTATTCACTGATGAGAAAGTTGTTAACCAGCATATTTATTTATTGGTGTGAAAGTTAACAACTAGCAAATTTATTTGTTGGTGAGTAAGTTGTTAACCAGCAAATTTATTTATTGGTGAGAAAGTTGTTACCAGCAAATTTATTTATTGGTGAGAAAGTTATTAACTAGCAAATTTATTTACTGGTGAGAAAGTTGTTAACTAGGAAATATATTTACTGGTGAGAAAGTTGTTAACTGGGACATTTATTCATTGGTGAAAAAGTTATTAAATTGCCATAATGAAATTAGGAGTAGGGAAGTACGGACAATGCCACCATACGCATAAGTAGAGGTTGGTGTTTGGGGAATGGATCTGTCATCTCTCAGAGCTCCATCTCAGATAGTAGTGTTTCTGTGTCAATATTTTATACACAAATTTCTTCATTTGTTTTTAAACATTTAGAGTACGGGGACCATCACCCTCTTGAGTTTTATTACTTGCCCCCAATACCTAGGTTTCAAAAGAGTTGCTAAATCTGGTGTTTCTAACTAGACAAGTCAATCAGTTTGTAATTTTTGATCAAACCACTTGGCTCAGTATATTTTGAGCCAGAGATGTTTGGTGTGGAATAGGCTTAACCTCATAGTCATTGAGACACCCTGCATGGTCATCAGATTTGTTAAGAACTATATGTAACCTCACATGCGAGTAGTCTAGGTAGGTTACTTAACTGTTTTAATTACTTTAAATACATAGCAATGCATTTACATTTTATAAACTCTGTGCATCCAAATATACGAAAACTACAACCAAAACAATGTTTCACATTCAAGGCACGAGCTTACCTCCTAGTTATCTTTTAAAATTGCCAGAACAATTACCTGCTGTTGTACACCCATAAAATATGAAAATAACAAAACAGTTTGCTTACAGTAGGTTATTCTACATTACTGTTTTCCTCTAAAATGTCAGTGACTATGTTATCAAAGTGCTGGATGGTCAGTGCTAAGATAGTTGAAATCAAACTAAGAACATAATGAGGTGATTCCTTATAAAAGAGAAAAACCTCAAACCATAATTTTCCTGTAATATGCAAGATCTACAAGCCTATTTAAATTTATTTGAAATTGGAATGGTATGAATACATGATCGATTTCAAACTAACCTCAGCCCACATTTCTAAAGTTCAAAAGGTAAAAAATGGAAAAGACTAATTTCCTACCTTGAAACCATAAAGCTAGCGATATGGCAGTTAGTCAAGTTCTTTTTCAGGTAGTTTTGTGTTACCACTCATTAAACACATTTAAATACAGAATACAGTTTATGCCCGCTAAGTTTTACAAGTGATACTGCTCATATGACAAAATATTTCTCTCAGATATAACAGTAAACAATTAAATGTCTCCAATTTAAAATATTTGGATTAAACATATATTAGATAATTACTTGAAAATTTTTGTGATTAGCATTTTAGTTGTTATGGTTCAGTAGACATCTTTTATATGCAACATTCTATAATCACTTCTATTAATAAAATTTTAACTTCTTAACTTAAGACTGTAAGTAATCTTACTGAAAATATTGACAGGGTCACAAAGAACATCATCTCGGTTAACCAAAACAATAAAACTCAAGAAAATTCCAACTAATAGTGCAGTATGTACATGAAAAAAGAATGCATAAGTTAATACAGAACTTATTTGTCAAAATGATAACCTTGATATTGTGTTAAAATTTCACAGCTCCACAAATTTTAAAATATTAAGTTTCAAACAACCTCTAAGTGATACCTTCTTATTCCTAATATAAAACATTAGAGTAATGTGAAATAAGATGGCAACTTTGCTATTTTATCTTTGTTCTAATAATGAGGAAAACAACTTACAGCATTTGAATGTGTGCTGTCTGTCTTCAGTTCCTTGTGATTGGAGAACTGCACAAAAACAGTTTGTCCACGAATAAGAGGAGCACCTGAATTGGTGTAGTAGTCCACCATGGAGCTAGCAGCTGCATCATCCACCATTTCCAAGAAGGCCTGGAGTAAAAAAAGTATTGAAATTTCAGATAAAAACTAAGTAGCAGCGACTGATAAGTAAATGACACAATTTATAAATGAATAAGAAACACACATTCTTATGAGAAAAAAGTAGAATTGAAAAGCTGGCCAGAATTTTTTTAGTCTTCTCAAAAAAATAAAAACATAGCTTGTAATATCCCCATTAAAATATCTAATGTGCTTTAAATGTATCCAAAATACTACCTTATTTTTTTTATCGGTTTTGTATTAATAAAATATATACATGGGAGGAAAAAACATACACTACTATTTTAACAACTTTTCTTTATTCACAAAGTAACAAGCTCAGTAAATGTTTAACTCCAAAAGTTACAACATACCAACAATAAGTCAGTGTTAATCATGTCTATAGTAAAATAGGAGGTAACATGATATCTTATTATACATTTCAGTATCAGATGAAGATTGCTTGATATTGTGTTAAAATTTCACAGCTCCAAAATTTTTAAAATATTAAGTTTCAAACAACCTCTGAGCTATACCTTCTTATTCCTAATAGAAAACATTAGAGTAATGTGAAATAAGATGGCAACTTTGTTAGAAAATCTAACAATTTTTTTTATCAAGGTTTCATTCACCTAGATGATAAGGGCTGGCTTTAAGATTTATTTTAAAATTTATTTATTAATAGTTTTACTTTAGTTTAGAGGATGGTACAGCTGAGATGAACCAATAGATCCCATGTTGTCCCAAAACATTATGTTATGTTATATTCAGTGTAAATAACTTGACTTGTATTTATGATGTATAATTATAGCTCAACAATTATTAACGCATTTATAGGAGTTAAAACAAAATAATCCAAGTGACATGTGCCAAGTACCTTAACTTGCATCTTTTTTTATTCAAAAGTACCAGTTTATGTCTGCTACCATGTTAACTTTCAGTCAGTACTTTTAAAAAAATTACTGTTATATGAAGCATACTGAAAAATGTGTATATAGTTATCTAGTATGTAATAGCAGTGATGTAATACATGGCACAACTTAGCACTTCCTACATTAGTTTGTTTTACTCTTTCATTTGACTGCTTGACATTAGTGAATAACAGCTGAATTGTGTGTTAAGTAAACAACTCAGTGTAACTACAAAAGATGATATAAAGATGCATAAGAAGAGCTCTACCCACATACACATGTAACTACTGAATAGTGTATGAAATTACTATTACAATAGGATTTGGTTTCTAGTTTATACATTTAGCATGATAAAATTTCTAAAAAGATATTTAAATTTTGTTACAGAATATTTGTTTTAGTTACTTCAAATGTATCTTAGAGGTTTGCTTCTAAAATGGTAGTTTTAATGTTCTATCTTGAGCTCTTTCTCTCAAAACATGCGAAAAGTCAAATTATAGCTGCTTCTAATAAGCCATGTTTTAACCACTTCATCCATCTGACTATTACAAT